CCCCTGAGGGGGTCGAGCGAGGGGGTCTCCTGAGGGGCTCGAGTGAGGGGGTCTCCTGAGGGGGTCTACTGAGGGGGTCCCCTGAGGGGGTCTCCTGAGGGGGTCTACTGAGGGGGTCTCCTGAGGGGGTCCCCTGAGGGGGTCTACTGAGGGGGTCTCCTAGGGGGTCGAGTGAGGGGGTCTCCTGAGGGGGTCTCCTGAGGGGGTCTACTGAGGTTGGTCGAGCGAGGGGGTCGAGTGAGGGGGTCTCCTGAGGGGGTCTCCTGAGGGGTCTACTGAGGTTGGTCGAGCGAGGGGGTCTCCTGAGGGAGTCTACTGAGGGGGTCGAGTGAGGGGGTCTCCTGAGGGGGTCTACTGAGGGGGTCTACTGAGGTTGGTCGAGCGAGGGGGTCTCCTGAGGGGGTCTCCTGAGGGGGTCGAGTGAGGGGGTCTCCTGAGGGGGTCTCCTGAGGGGGTCTACAGGGGAGCATCAGGCGGCTCAGGGCGCGGCCGTGTGCTCGCTCTCCCCGCTCTCTTCCATCTCCCTTGCATCTTCCTCTCTCTCCGCGCCCGCCTCTCTCATATATCTCCTCTCTCTCTGCCTTACAAACCTCGCCTCTCGCTCCCTGATGCCCCCTCTCCTATCTCCACCCGCTGTCTCCCTCATTGCGGATCTCATCGCACTGCGATCTCGTTCACCACTCTCCCGGAGTCTCTCGCCTCTTACCCCCCCCCCCCCCGCGCACTCCCCTCCCACGCCTCCCCACCGCGCTCCCCCCCGGCACACCCCCCCCCCCGGCACTCACCCCCCCCCCCCACCGGCACTCCCCCCCCCCCCCCCACCGGCACTCCCCCCCCCCCCACCGGCACTCCCCGCCCCCACGCTCCCCCCCCCACACTAGCCCCCCCCCCCCCACGCTCGCCCCCCCCACGCTCCCCCTACCCACCAGCACTCCCCCCCCCCCACCGGCACTCCCCGCCCCCACGCTCTCCCCCCCCCCTCACGCTCGCCCCCCCACGCTCGCCCCCCCCACGCTCGCCCCCCCCCCCCCACGCTCGCCCCCCCCCCCACGCTCGCCCCCCCCCCACGCTCGCCCCCCCCCCACGCTCGCCCCCCCCCCCACGCTCGCCCCCCCCACGCTCGCCCCCCCCCACGCTCTCCCCCCCACGCACGCCCCCCCCCCACGCACGCCCCCCCCCCACGCACGCCCCCCCCCCACGCACGCCCCCCCCCACGCACGCCCCCCCCCACGCTCCCCCCCCCACGCTCCCCCCCCCCACCGGCACTCCCCCCCCCCCCACCGGCACTCCCCCCTTTCCCTTCACTCCCCTCCCCCCGCACTCCCCCGCCCCCCGCCGCTGCTCCCCGGAGCGAGCGGAAATGTCCCATCGATTCCGCTCGGCCGCCCTCCCCCCACCTCCCCCACCTCCCCCCTCCCCCCACCTCCCCCCTCCCCCCACCTCCCCCGCTCTCCTCGTTCTCATGAATGAGCGAGCGCCACCGCAGCCAATGGCGACTTGGGCCGAGCACAATGAGGATGAGGGGGAGGGGCGAGGGGGGTGGAGGGGGCGGTGTTGGGTGGGGGGGCACGCGTGCGCCCGCGGTTGCGTGCGTGATTGTGTGGTGTGTGTGCAATGTGTGTGTGTGTGTAATGTGTGTGCAATGTGTGTGTGTGTAATGTGTGTGTGTGTATGTAATGTGCGTGTGCAATGTGTGTGTGTAATGTGTGTGTGTAATGTGTGTGTGTGTAATGTGTGTGTGTATGCGATGTGTGTGTGTAATGTGTGTGTGTGTAATGTGTGTGTGTATGCAATGTGTGTGTGTAATGTGTGTGCGCGATGTGTGTGTGTGCAATGTGTGTGTGTAATGTGTGTGCGCGATGTGTGTGTGTGTAATGTGGGTGTGTAATGTTGTGTGCGATGTGTGTGTGTAATGTGGTGTGTGTGTGATGTGTGTGTATGCAGTGTGTGTGTAATGTGTGTGTATACAATGTGTGTGTAATGTGTTTGTGTGTAATGTATGTATGCAATGTGTGTGTATGCAATGTGTGTGTGTAATGTGTGTGTGTATGCAATGTGTGTGTTTGTGTGCGCGATGTTTGTGTGCGATATGTGTGTGCAATGTGTGTGTGTAATGTGTGTGTGTAATGTGTGTGTGTGTAATGTGTGTGTGTAATGTGTGTGTGTATGCAATGTGTGTGTGTGTGTAATGTGTGTGTGTATGCAATGTGTGTGTTTGTGTGCGCGATGTGTGTGCGCGATATGTGTGTGTGTGCAATGTGTGTGTGTAATGTGTGTGTGTAATGTGTGTGTGTATGCAATGTGTGTGTTTGTGTGCGCGATGTGTGTGCACGATATGTGTGTGTGTGTAATGTGTGTGTGTAATGTGTGTGTGTGCAATGTGTGTGTGTAATGTGTGTGTATGCGATGTGTGTGTGTAATGTGTGTGTGTAATGTGTGTGTATGCAATGTGTTTGTATGCAATGTGTGTGTTTAATGTGTGTGTGTATGCAATGTGTGTGTGTAATGTGTGTGTGCAATGTGTGTGTGTGTGTCCGCGATGTGTGTGTGTGTATGCGATGTGTGTGTGTAATGTGCGTGTGCAATGTGTGTGTGTGTCCGCGATGTGTGTGCGCGATGTGTGTGTGTAATGTGGTGTGTGTGTGATGTGTGTGTATGCAGTGTGTGTGTAATGTGTGTGTATACAATGTGTGTGTAATGTGTTTGTGTGTAATGTATGTATGCAATGTGTGTGTATGCAATGTGTGTGTGTAATGTGTGTGTGTATGCAATGTGTGTGTTTGTGTGCGCGATGTTTGTGTGCGATATGTGTGTGCAATGTGTGTGTGTAATGTGTGTGTGTAATGTGTGTGTGTGTAATGTGTGTGTGTAATGTGTGTGTGTATGCAATGTGTGTGTGTGTAATGTGTGTGTGTATGCAATGTGTGTGTTTGTGTGCGCGATGTGTGTGCGCGATATGTGTGTGTGTGCAATGTGTGTGTGTAATGTGTGTGTGTAATGTGTGTGTGTATGCAATGTGTGTGTGTGTAATGTGTGTGTGTATGCAATGTGTGTGTTTGTGTGCGCGATGTGTGTGCGCGATATGTGTGTGTGTGTAATGTGTGTGTGTAATGTGTGTGTGTGTGCAATGTGTGTGTGTAATGTGTGTGTATGCGATGTGTGTGTGTAATGTGTGTGTGTAATGTGTGTGTATGCAATGTGTGTGTATGCAATGTGTGTGTTTAATGTGTGTGTGTATGCAATGTGTGTGTGTAATGTGTGTGTGCAATGTGTGTGTGTGTCCGCGATGTGTGTGTGTGTATGCGATGTGTGTGTGTAATGTGCGTGTGCAATGTGTGTGTGTGTCCGCGATGTGTGTGCGCGATGTGTGTGTGTGTGCAATGTGTGTGTGCAATGTGTGTGTGTAATGTGTGTGTATGTGCGATGTGTGTGCGCGATGTGTGTGTGTGTGTGTGCAATGTGTGTGTGCAATGTGTGTGTGTAATGTGTGTGTGTAATGTGTGTGTGTGCGCGATGTGTGTGCGCGATGTGTGTGTGTGTAATATGTGTGTGTGTGCACGTGTGTAGGTAGCGGGTAGTGGTTATCGCGCTGCGCTATGAACCCAGCGACCCGAGTTCGATTCCCGTTCACGGCCAACACCAGTGACGATTATTTGAATCGGTTCTGGGCCTCCCCTAGGTCGACTCAGCTTCAAATGAGTAGCTGGTGCGGTGTGTAAACATCGCCACGAGGGAGACAAAGGCGGTCGGGCGTGGTGTTTTCCACCCACCTCCACGCGTGCCGTGCCTTCATAGGTGCTCGCTCACAACATTTGCCCCAACATTCTGTTTAAAGGCTACACGTTGGGGGGGGGGGCATCGTTGTCTTTGTGTACGCGTGCAAGGTGTGCCATTGTATACGTGTGTGTGTATACGATTCTGCGATGTAACCATCGGCCCAGCACCTGCACACGAGCTGATTTCATCGCTCCATCTCCTGGGTGGACGTGAACCCGCTCTAACGCGTTCCATCCATTTGCCTGCCACTCCATTAGAATTTTCCCCATCATCCTCATCTTGGGGACGAGCCCTGCCCAAGCCCACTTGACGGTTTGGATGATGTCAGTGACCTACGGATGTTCTCTAATCCACGCGTTCCTCTTCCAAGAATGCGCATTGTGTACAACGTGTGCGTGCCCATTCTTTGGACTCGGTCCCAGGGTTAGAATGGAACGCGTCCGACAGTGCACGAAAAAAACCGATGGAGCAATGAAATGGGTTGATATGCGAGTTGCTGTGTGTGTGTGGTTCATAGTTTTACTTCGCTGGATCGCGAGAGGTGACGGTTTGGGAGGGTGGGTGGTGGGTGCCTTCATCCAGCAGTGGATTGGCCCTCGCTTCGTGGTGCGTTCTGTGCAAGGCAGTTCGAGTCGTGGCTGAATGTTTGGGGGTGGGCCCTTGCGGTGCGTGAGTGGGGGGGACGGGGCGAGCGGCGCGGACCAATCAGCGCCCACCGGATGCATTGTCTCGCGCGCTCAGGAATGACAATAGAGCGCGCGCCGGGGGGCGGGGGTGGGGGGCTGGGGGGCGGGGGACTTGGGGGCAGGGCGAAGGGGGGGGGTGTTGGAGCTGGGGGGAGGGGCAGGAGGAGGGGCCCGTCTCTACCAATCAGCGCGCACCGGATGCGATGACGTCGCGCGCGCGCGGCCCGACGGAAGCGCGTGCCCACGGGGGAGGAGGAGGCGGAGGGGGGAGAGGGGAGGGGCTGCTGGAGGGGCGGGGCTGGGGTGAGGGGAGGGGTCACGCGGATCGAGTTCCGTGGGCGCTCGCTCCGGAAAGCGCCCATTAGCGGCACAAGGCGGCTCTTAGCGGCCACTCTGCTGCACGGCGCTCCCCCAACGCCCCCCCCACCCCCCGCGCTCTCTCCCGCACGCTCCACCGCTCTCCTCCCCCTGCTGCAGTCCCCCCCCCCCCACTCACTCTCCCCGCCGTCGCTCTCTCTCCCCTCCCACTCGCCCCCCCCCCCACCAAGCACCACCAAGCACGCTCTCTCGCCTTCCCCTCTCCCTTGCCTCTCCTCCTCGTCCCCTTCACTCTCCCCGCGCTCTCCTCGCCCTCATTGTCCCCGGGCCGGGCGCGGCGATGCGGCGCGGCTGGCGCTGAGCGCCTGGGCTACTCGGCCCCTCGACGCTCTCTCCCCGTGTCCCTCCCTGACTCCGTCTCCCTCTCCGACTCCCTCCCTGTGTCCCTCCCTGTGACTCCCTCTCTGACCCCGTCTCCCTCCCCGACTCCCTGTGTCTCCCTCTCCGTCTCCCTCACTGTGTCTCTCCCTGTGACTCCCTCACTGTGTCTCCCTCCCCCCGTCTCCCTCCCTGTGTGTCCCTCCCTGTGACTCCTTCCCTGTGTCTCCCTCCCTGTCTCTACCGATCGCGGGGCTCTTCACTCCCTGACACCCTCCACGACTGTCTCCTTCCACCTCCCCTCGTCTCTCATCCCTTCCCCGTGCTCCCCACCCCACCCCCCACCGTCTTCAGCTCCACCCCGCTCTGCTCGGCACTCGCCGTCTTCTTCCTACTCGTCCTTCCCCTCCTCGACCCCTTCCTTCATCCCGCGTCTCCCTCCTGCCCGCTGCTGCGCCTCGACTCCGCCATGGGGACCTCCTGAGCAGCTCCGCACGTCCGCGCCGAGGCGGCCTCAGGTGAAGCCGAGGAGGAGGAATGTGACGACAATGATGATAATGAGGTGGAGGAGAGTGACGACGATGATGAGGAGGTGGAGGAGGGAGGCGTCGCTCTCCCGCCATCTCGGGGGTCGCGGCCATCGCGGGCAGAAGAGGGGATCTCCCCTCTCCGGGGACCCCGGGCGGCGAGGGGGTAGCGCGGGGGGGGGGAGTCCGTCTCGTGGGGGTCTCGTGGGGTCGGGGTACGGGGGGGGTCCGCGTTGTGTGTGCAGGGGGGTAACGTCAGGGTTGAGTGTCATCGCGAAGGGGTTTGTGGACGGGGCTTGGAGAGATTCGGGGGTTCAGAGCGACGAAGGGGTCTCATTTGGGGGAGCTTCTGCTCGGGGGGGGCTGGGATGGCGAGCGCGACCCCCCCCCCTCCCCGTGTCTCCACCTGCGTCTTCACCGATGCGCCTCGCAAGGCTGTGCCCCCCCCCCCGCGTGTTGTGACCCTTGTTGACACGTGTGCACCCCCCGTGTTGTGACCCTATTTGACACGTGCCCCCCCCCCGTGTTGTGACCCTTGTTGACACGTGTGCCCCCCCCCGCGTGTTGTGACCCTTGTTGACACGTGTGCCCCCCCCCCCGTGTTGTGACCCTTGTTGACACGTGTGCCCCCCCCCGCGTGTTGTGACCCTTGTTGACACGTGCCCCCCCCCCCGTGTTGTGACCCTTGTTGACACGTGTGCCCCCCCCCCGCGTGTTGTGACCCTTGTTGACACGTGTGCCCCCCCCCGCGTGTTGTGACCCTTGTTGACACGTGTGCCCCCCCCCGCGTGTTGTGACCCTTGTTGACACGTGTGCCCCCCCCCGTGTTGTGACCCTTGTTGACACGTGTGCCCCCCCCCCCGCGTGTTGTGACCCTTGTTGACACGTGTGCCCCCCCCCCGCGGGTTGTGACCCTTGTTGACACGTGTGCCCCCCCCCCGCGTGTTGTGACCCTTGTTGCCACGTGTGCCCCCCCCCGTGTTGTGACCCTTGTTGACACGTGTGCCCCCCCCCCGCGTGTTGTGACCCTTGTTGACACGTGTGCCCCCCCCCGCGTGTTGTGACCCTTGTTGACACGTGTGCCCCCCCCCCCGTGTTGTGACCCTATTTGACACGTGCCCCCCTCCCGCGTGTTGTGACCCTTGTTGACACGTGTGCCCCCCCCCCGCGTGTTGTGACCCTTGTTGACACGTGTGCCCCCCCCGCGTGTTGTGACCCTTGTTGACACGTGTGCCCCCCCCCTCTGCGTGTTGTGACCCTTGTTGACACGTGTGCCCCCCCCTCCACGTGTTGTGACCCTTGTTGACACGTGTGCCCCCCCCCCGCGTGTTGTGACCCTTGTTGACACGTGTGCCCCCCCCCTGCGTGTTGTGACCCTTGTTGACACTGTGCCCCCCCCCTCTGCGTGTTGTGACCCTTGTTGACACGTGTGCCCCCCCCCTGCGTTGTGTACCCTTGTTGACAAGTGTGCCCCCCCTGCGTTGTGACCCTTGTTGACACGTGTGCCCCCCCCCCCCACGTGTTGTGACCCTTGTTGACACGTGATATAATGAGACGTGATCATACACATACACACTGCCCATGTATTACTACACTGTGCCCGTATAGACACACACACACAGCAACAACAACAGCAGCACCACCCTTCTATCAAATCACTAATTCACAGTGAGTGCCCATGTCAGTCGAACGGCCCTTGACAGACTATTTTGGGGGCTAGTGGTGTTCGCGAGCCACCCTGTGACGGCCGGCACGGCACGCGAGGTCGTGGGTGACCAGGGCCACTCCCGCGGCCGCCTTTGTCTCCCTCGTGGCGATGTTCACACACCGCACCGGGGACCGATTTGAGTCGAGGTCACACGGGGGGGAGGGTCAGGGGACCGGCTCAGATACTCGCCCGTGTACCCACACACACAGTGCCCATATATACACAGTACCCATATATACACAGTGCCCATATACACACAGTGCCCATATACACACACAGTGCCCATATACACACAGTGCCCATATACACACACAGTGCCCATATACACACACAGTGCCCATATACACACAGTACCCATATACACACAGTGCCCATATACACACAGTGCCCATACACACACACAGTGCCCATACACACACAGTGCCCATACACACACACACAGTGCCCATACACACACACACAGTGCCCATACACACACACACAGTGCCCATACACACACACACAGTGCCCATACACACACACACAGTGCCCATATACACACAGTGCCCATATACACACACAGTGCCCATATACACACAGTACCCATATACACACAGTACCCATATACACACACACAGTACCCATGTACACACACACAGTACCCATGTACACACACACAGTGCCCATACACACACACACAGTGCCCATATACACACACAGTACCCATATACACACACAGTACCCATGTACACACACACACTACCCATATACACACACACACGCAGTGCCCATATACACACACACAGTACTCATACACACACACAGTACCCATATACACACACAGTACCCATACACACACACAGTACCCATATACACACACACAGTACCCATACACACACACAGTACCCATATACACACACACAGTACCCATATACACACACACAGTACCCATGTACACACACACACTACCCATATATATACACACACACACAGTACTCATACACACACACAGTACCCATACACACACAGTACCCATACACACACAGTGCCCATACACACACAGTGCCCATATACACACACAGTGCCCATATACACACACAGTGCCCATATACACACACACAGTGCCCATACACACACACACAGTGCCCATACACACACACACAGTGCCCATATACACACACACAGTGCCCATACACACACACAGTGCCCATACACACACAGTGCCCATATACACACACACAGTACCCATATACACACACACACAGTGCCCATACACACACACACAGTGCCCATACACACACACACAGCGCCCATACACACACACATTACCCATATATACACACAGTACCCATATACACACACACAGTACCCATATACACACACACAGTACCCATATACACACACACAGTACCCATATACACACAGTGCCCATATACACACACAGTGCCCATATACACACACAGTGCCCATACACACACAGTACCCATATATACACACAGTACCCATATACACACACACAGTGCCCATACACACACACAGTGCCCATACACACACACACAGTGCCCATACACACACACACAGTGCCCATATTCACACACAGTACCCATATACACACACACAGTGCCCATATACACACACACACGCAGTGCCCATATACACACACACAGTGCCCATATACACACCACACACAGTGCCCATACACACACACATAGTGCCCATATACACACACAGTGCCCATACACACACACGCAGTGCCCATATACACACACAGTACCCATACACACACAGTGCCCATATACACACACGCAGTGCCCATATACACACACAGTGCCCATATACACACACAGTACCCATACACACACAGTGCCCATACACACACACGCAGTGCCCATATACACACACAGTGCCCATACACACACAGTGCCCATATACACACAGTGCCCATATACACACACAGTACCCATACACACACACAGTGCCCGTACACACACAGTACCCATATACACACACAGTACCCATACACACACACAGTGCCCATACACACACAGTGCCCATATACACACAGTGCCCATACACACACACACACTGCCCATACACACACACACACAGTGCCCATATACACACACACTACCCATATACACACACATTACCCATACACACACAGTGCCCATACACACACACGCAGTGCCCATATACACACGCAGTGCCCATATACACACACAGTGCCCATACACACACAGTGCCCATATACACACAGTGCCCATATACACACACAGTACCCATACACACACACAGTGCCCATACACACACACATAGTGCCCATATACACACACAGTGCCCATACACACACACGCAGTGCCCATATACACACACAGTACCCATACACACACAGTGCCCATATACACACACACAGTACCCATACACACACACAGTGCCCATACACACAGTGCCCATATACACACAGTGCCCATACACACACACACAGTGCCCATATACACACACACACACTACCCATATACACACACATTACCCATACACACACACAGTACCCATACACACACACAGTACCCATACACACACACAGTACCCATATACACACACAGTGCCCATATACACACACAGTGCCCATATACACACAGTACTTATACACACACACAGTACTTATACACACACACAGTGCCCATACACACACACAGTGCCCATACACACACACAGTGCCCATACACACACAGTGCCCATGTACACACACAGTGCCCATACACACACACACACAGTGCCCATATACACACACACAGTGCCCATATACACACACAGTGCCCATATACACACACACAGTGCCCATATATACACACAGTGCCCATGTACACACACACAGTGCCCATGTACACACACACAGTGCCCATACACACACACACAGTGCCCATGCACACACACACAGTGCCCATGCACACACACAGTGCCCATGCACACACACACAGTGCCCATACACACACACACAGTGCCCATGTGCACACACACACAGTGCCCATGCACACACACACAGTGCCCATGCACACACACACAGTGCCCATATACACACACACAGTACCCATATACACACACACAGTGCCCATACACACACACAGTGCCCATACACACACACACAGTGCCCATACACACACACACAGTGCCCATACACACACACACAGTGCCCATACACACACACAGTACCCATATACACACACACAGTGCCCATATACACACACACAGTGCCCATACACACACAGTGCCCATATACACACACACAGTACCCATACACACACAC